GATATCATCTTTCTTAATTTTGCTTTCTCATAGGCTTGCAGATATTGCAATATGGATTTTATTTTATTCTCATCTATCCTCAACACAACAATACTATATTTAATCCTATCCTACAACATTGCTTGCCAGTACGGGACCCAAAGCAGTCATGAATTCTTCAATGTTGGCCTTGATCCAATTGGCGGCAGCAGCTGAGTTCAGGTGAGGCAGTACCGCCTCACTGTGCAGGATGGTGGTGCCGACAAACTTTGGATCAGGGGGCACAGTGCACAGTATGTTGTTGGACATGATGGTGGTTGTATGGTGGGCCCTGTCCACAAGTGCTTTCCTGTCCATACCATGCATCTACTGTGTTAGTCCTGATGTTTTCTCAATTAGTATCTGATAAGCTTATGCCACTGCATTCACCAAAGCTGCTGCAGGTGCGGGTGGCAGAACCTGGGCCACAGCAGTGGCATAAGACTTCAAAACTTTGTCAGTGGGCTCAGGCACCACCAAAAGATCCTGGACAGACCCCAACTCTTTGTCCGCATCTGCCCATGTCTGCATGCACAGCACAATGTTCTGCAAGTCAATCTCCAGTCTCTCCACCATTGTGGACAGTGCTGAGGCTTGCTTGTCTACCATGCATGTGAGCTGTGCATGTTGCCAGCAAAAGTATTTGGTGTCTCACTAGACATAGACAAAGCATGTACTGCAGCAAGGATGGCCTGAACGTCCTCAGCAACCCTCTATGACATGATCAACTCTTTTGATGTCCATAGCAGTGGCCACAGTGTGCAGAGTATCGGAAGCAATTGCTGTGCTCAGCCCCAGGGATGCCGTGATGTGAAGCACAACATACGAGAGAACATTGAATAAAGGATTCATACCTGAGAGCTGAGGTGTGGGGCCTTTCAAATAGAGATGTGTGACACAGTCAGCCATGTGCCACTCTTGCCACTTGTTGCTGCTGCTGGAGAGGGCATAGAGCTCAGGTTTCATTTTTGTCAGGAATATTTTGGCTGCATCAGGTGTTGGGTGTGTTGTGTGGCCTGTGGTCTGCTTCTGTGGGTCTGGTGTGGGTGCTCTTCCCGAGCTTTTTGTGTTCATTGCACTAAGACTGCCAGCTGGAGTTGCTCTATTGGAGTCAGTAGGTATGACGGACATGGTTGAGAAATAAAATAAGAGAAGCTAAGGAGCACAATGCTGCTCAATGCCCAAGCTTCGAAATTTTTGAAGCACTGATTGAGACCATGTGGTATTTTGTTGCCAAGAGAGATCAATTCTAACCTCTTCTGGTCTCTGAATAAATAAAATAAGCTGCTGTAGCTGTTGAAACTGTCCTCATCTAGTATCTTCTGAAGTGCTCACCGGAGGGGTTTGGAGGTGCAATTTATCCCAACTGCATGGCCTATCCTCCAGCAATTTATTTTCGTGTGCCTACAGCCTTGTTACCCACAACTTCATCCTCATACTGTCCCCATATAGATAAGATAAGTTATTGTAGGCTGTACAGGCCAACTCCAAGTCATCAACATGGTGAAACAGTTGGAGATTCAATTCCTCCCAGCAGCATCATCTCTGTTGGTACTGTTTTTTAAAATGTCTGGCTTTAAATTTAACCAAATACTTAACCTCATCCAGTCCCAAGTAACCAACAACACCCGCTCTGGAAGCAGGCAAAGACCTAGAATTCCATACATTTCACGTGAAATTCTATTATGATTAGCTGACCATCTCACAAACTAATGAAACAGCAGTTAACATTCCTTCTTGTGTGCACCCAGACACCCATTGAATGATCACGGGGTCCCATCCAATAACCGGACACACCATATGAGTGGCCATTTCCATGACTTTGGCAAGGAGCTTGGTGTCACTGACCCCAAGAGCCTTAAGGACATATACAAGACACATCTTGAAAATTGTATGTGTTACACCTTTCTTTTGCCTCTGCTACTCACAGCTGCACAGAACTGAATGCTCTGGCAAACGTCGACTCTGTGCTGCAGTGCATGGCTTTGGGTCTTGGACTGCTCTATCTTGGTAAGTTGTGCGGTGTCCATGCTAACTATTGTGCTCATCCCACTTTGCAGTGTAGGCTTGCAAGATGCATGGGACACGACCATTGAGACATTCAAGGCGATTGAGCACCCGATCTCGAAAATTGTGCAGATCGTTGTCGAGGTGTGCATGTTTGCAGCACAGGCAATGTCATTCTCCTACTAGCTCTTGTAGATGCACTACAGTGAACCTGTTATCCGGAAATTTATACTGCTGGCCATTGACCTCGTCAGCATCTCCAACGCCCCCAACTACCCATCCTAAACCTCAACACCCTGTCAAAGTACAGCCACAATGATAACAACCTGGCTGTTGCTCTCAGCGCTATCTTTGTCATGGAGCTCGTCAGTGCATAAAACAATGCGCGGCTGGTACAAATACTACAACAGCTTGCCAGATGCTACTCCAAAGAGCCCAACTGTCTCTTTATGGTACACATTGCACAGGAGCTTGTGCATATAGGCAAAGACACACCCTTCTTCTCCAACGGGAGCATCATGAGCCGGCCAGCAAATGCTGGCTTCTTGCCAACATTGATGGCCTCCACTGATGCCAAGCACTGCAAGTGTCCCCAATTTATAACTGTTCCTGAGCTGACTTTGTTGCAGATGATAGTCATCCTCAACAAATACCACCGGAATGTACCTCCGCTTTTTGATCACTGTCAATGGGGAGCTGAACAACAGCACAATTGCTGTGCACATCGGACAGGTAAGCAGACTATTTTGGCATCTTTGTTATGCAATCATCCTCAGATTTTGGCAGGCGCTCAATGTAGTGGGACAGGCTGGAAAGCCGTGAACAATCTCAGGGTTCCAGATGCATTAGATGCCCATGTGGCTGGCATTGACCAAGCAGGCCGAAATTGTGACAGACAGAGTTACCCCGCCAGCTTCTATCTTGCAGGGTCCATGCATTCTTTCTTTGCAGCACAATGTCTGAGTGGGATTCTGCAGTAGCACATTGTGGTATGTATTAGTAGCACAGTCTATTGAATGTTCTTCTATCCCAATTCGGCTGCAATACCTCCTCCTTGCCCGCTTCCAGGGCAGGCACTGGTGTCAGCGCATCTGCCTCTGTCTCATGGAATGTGTATTTGTCTCTGAGCTCAGCAGCGAGGTGGCAGATGTATTTGTGCCCCCAAGTACTGGGGTCAGCGAGTGGGGACCTGGCTGGTCAGAGAGACATGGACAAAAGACAGCAATGGAGAGTTCCATGGGATTGAGTCAAGAGGACCCACAGACCAGCCAAGCACCACCAAACTTTGGGCCAGATTCCAAAAGTCCAAAAGTCTGAACAGTGAGCTCAGAGCACCAAGCACCCAACGCAATGCTGCTGTGGGGCGGGCCAGCCCGACCATCATGCTTGACAGTGGGCAGGCACTCCCGCTCACTGGATGGGACAGCACCAGTTCATCAGTTCCTGACCTCAGTCTATATATGAACAACTTCAGACAATATATAATGTCAGTTTCATGTCATACTATGAAGTTTTCACATCTCATACTATATTGTGACTCACACATTTTATACACAACCAGTCCACACATTATATATGAACTTTTCACATCTCCCTCAACAGTAAGTGCAATTTGGCTTTTGAACAACTTTATACAAGCTACATCTGATCTTATACTAGATTTTATTTATTTTACAAAAGGAACAGCATAACGGAGGCCACCTTCGTCATTTATTGCCAAGGAGTCGAATTGCTGAAGGAGTTGGAGGTTCAAATCCTCCCAGTGCATGTTTGTACATAATTTCATACAGTGTTTTATTTTGTAGTTGTATCTGTGTGCCTTCACCCTTGTCCCCCAAAAATCCAATCACAAAACCAAAACCCCAGCTTCAGAGGCAGAGAAATTTGCAGAGGCTGCTCCTATCCAGTATTGCCCACATCTGAGCTGGAGGTTCAATTTGGACTTTCTGCTCACTCATTTTCTTTTGTATTGTCTGGTTCCAGTCTTTCACTTGTCATTGGAACCAATTGATCCCAAAGCTGTTGTAGCCACAGTACAGTGGCTTCCTCCATCCCATATATTTCCTTTCAACACCTAAGGGGGTTGGAGATTCCTCCTGACAGCATAGGATAGGGAGTTTTTTTTCTGGCTGCTCATTTGGATGCTAATTCTTCCTGGTATGGTGCACCATATTCAATTGCTGCTGGTTGAGAACCAAGAAATTGTTACAAGAAATGGGGAAAAAGGGAACTGAATCCAGCACACAAAAACTCTGGAAACTACAATAGAATGCATTAAAGAGGAATCAAACCCCTGGTGGGTTGAGAGTGCAGGCCTTTTACTTTATGGCAACGAGCCAGGACCATAATGCTATGCTCATCAATTCCTTGCAGTGAGAATACACATGGGTGGGGAGGGAACCAAATTTGAGATAAAAAAAGAGAAAAAGCAGAGGTGGGGAGGGAATGTGGGAACTGTGAGCAGCAAAAAAGATAGCGACAGAGGCAAATGCATTAAGGGGGAATCGAACCCCCGGCGAGTTGAGCATGGAACCTAGTAGTGTATGGCAACGACCCAGGTTACCACTACCCTATTAATGCTACTGCAGTTGTAGTGGTCTCGTGGTACAATAATGAGAATACATATAGGCGCAGAAAGAGGAAATAAAGACCTTGGGATCAAAACAACACCTGAGGCGGCAAGGGGAATGTTGGGACTGGAAGCAGCAAAAATGAGATAGACCAAATTATATGCATTAAGGGGGAATCGAACCCCCGGCGGGTCGAGCATTTATGTTATGGTTTCCCATGGCAACGACCCAGGTTACCACTACCCCATTAATGCTACACAACTCTCGAGGTCTCGTGGTGTGCTAATGAGAATACATATGGGCGCAGAAAGAGGAAATAAAGACCTTGGGATCAAAACAACACCTGAGGCGGCAAAGGGGAATGTTGGGACTGGAAGCAGCAAAAATGAGACAAATCAGATTATATGCATTAAGGGGGAATCGAACCCCCGGCGGGTCGAGACATGCCTAGCCACTTGTATGGCAACGACCCAGGTTACCACTACCCCATTAATGCTACTACAGTTATGGTCGTCTCGTGGTACAGTAATGAGAATACACATAGGCGCAGAAGGAAAAAAAATGCCTTGCGATCAAAAACGACACCTGAGGCCGCAAAGGGGAATTTGAATGTTGGGACTGGCAGCAGCAAAAGGGGTACCTAGGAACCATGCATTAAGGGGGAATCGAACCCCCGGCGGGTCGAGCATTTCTTTCCTGCGGAGATGGCAACGACCCAGGTTACCACTACCCCATTAATGCGATGGCAGAAAGGCGAAGGGACCTCCCTAGATCTGGTCGTGGAAATGTTGGAAGGGAAATCAAAATTGCATTGCTCAGACCGAGAGGGGCGGATGAAAAGAAGGGGTGATAACGACGACTTGTCAGAGAGAAAGAAAGAGAGACCAGACGAAGTGATTGAAAGTTGATTAGGCCAGGTGTGGTGCCTTGAAAGGTGAATAGACAGCATAGGATGGCGAGGGTACAAACAGAAGAGAAGACTTCAAGACAAAACGAGTCGACCAGGCTTACATACAGTACGGAGATGATAGCGCATCTGAAATAGGTGGGCGTGCCGACGGGTGGCGGACAGACGTTTCATAATTTTCAGGGTCGATTGGATAGCAGATAGCGCACAGTCAGCGAAAGAAAGAGCATTGGTCTAAGACGGAGTCGACCAGAGACAGTGACAGAGCACACGAGTAAGAAAATAAGTTGAAGGGGCGACATGATAACAATCGCGCTGAAATACCAAGTGAGACACGAATACGATGGTTCAAGTGACGTCTTGTGGTGCCGGTTTGTATTGTGATCGCCGAAAAGTGTAGCTCTGCCCGCCGCCATTGCCTGGATGGACCGCCCGCTCGGCCCCCGCCAGCCGCCCGAGCGCAACGCCGCCTACGAGGACATCTTCGGCCGCCGCCCCGCCCCCCGCTCCGCCCCGCCATACCCCCAAGCATACCCCCAGCAGCCCCAGCCGCCCATACCAACAGCAACAGATCCAGCACAGGCCGCCCATATACCACCCCCAGCAACACCCCTACCCTCAAGGCTACCCCCAGCAGCCGCCGGGCTACTACGGCGGCGGCGGCCCGCCCTCCCTGCGCGCGCCGTCCCTCCGCCCCGCGTACCACCCCGGCGTCCCCGCGCCCCCGCCGGACCGCCCGCTCGACGGCCAGGGCCTCACCCCCGCGCAGGCGTACCAGGCGCAGGTCGCCCACGGCGCACAGTGGCAGCAGCAGCGCAGCCACAGCCCTGCGCCGCCGCACGCACATCAGCCGACGCCGCAGCAGGGGCCGCCGGCGCTGAGCGTGGCGATAGGCGGCGACGGCGGCAGGCTGGGGATCAGCTTCGACTCGTACGAGAGCCCCGCGAGCCCCACTAATCACTCGCACCCCCCGAATGGAAACGGGAATGGGAATGGGAATGGTGGAGGAGAGGGAGGGGAGGAAGACGACGAGGAGAGCGAGCTGCCGTGGGCCAGACGTGAGTCGTCGTGTTCGTTCTTGCCTTTACTTCTTGGGCTGTGAGCGGGGGCATCATCCGCATCGATTGCATGCGGCCGCTCCCCGATACGAGCGGACACGCGCTCGCTTCCCCTCCCGCGAGGCGAGCCGAGGCGAAAAGATGAGATGGCGTCGACCTACGGCGGGCCTGCGACACACCACGCGCCGAGCACGAGCAAGTAGACCGTGACGCTGCTGTCTTGCTTTCGTGCAGTCTGTCGCGGCGATACATTTCTCGTTCCTCGTTCCTCATTCCCTTTCTTTATACGATACTGACTACACCTTCCCCCCGCCTATATATATAGCACCACAACGTGAGTCTCTCCACCCTTCCGTCTGCTTCTGTGTCTTGGCTTTTCGGTGTTGTCCTCGTGGCGGGACGCGGCTGTGCATATCTACCGCCCATCCTGGCACTTGTCGGATCGACGAGCTGGGTGGGGCGGCGCACCTGCGCGCACGGCCCTCGTATCTACGCGCTGCGCCAACGTGGTGTGATGAGATGTGGCGCGGTGCGCGGGCCGCAGACGTCTTGCGCCGTCCAGGCCTGCAGATACCCTCCCGTGCGCGCTCTGCGGTCGAGATGGCATCCTTACGAGGTCGGGCAGGGCCAGGGCTGGGAAGACCTGTCCCTCCCATATCGGGCTTCATGTCGTCCCGCACACGTTCGTGGGGAGATGAGTACGCGCGCGGGTCGCTCTCGCCCATCTTTCGTCTTTTATCTTCTTTCTCTGTGTTCTCCCTCTGGTTGGACCCGTGCTGACTTGTATCCTCTGCTTTCTGCGTACAGAGTTACAACGTGCGTTTATTTCCGTTCCATTTCTTAAGGAATTTCTTCTTCCTCTTCCGATGCGCTGTTATGTGCGAGTCCAACGGCCGACCGCCGTGCGATCGGGGAGCGGACGGTCCAGGGGTGGCGTGCGCATCCGTTGTCCCGTCTATTAAGTAGCGCGGGTCACACTGGGCTCAGAGCGGGTGCAGCGCCTTTTCGGTGGGCGCTCGAACAAGGGTGCTGGTACACACGCGCTCGCGCTCGCAGGCTGGCGCGTGCATCCGTTGTCCCGTCTATTAATTAGCGCGGGTCACACTGGGCTCAGAGCGCGTGCAGCGCCTTTTCGGTGGGCGCTCGAACAGGGGTGCTGGTACCGCGCGCGCTCGTGGGCGTCTAACGTGTCCGATCCGTTGGGTGCGCGATGCACGGGCGGGACCCCTGCGCTACTGCATATCCGATCAGGAGGGAGGGATGGTGCGAGCGCGCAGCGTGCCGTACCTCGGGCTGTGTGGGCCTCTGGCCAGGCGTGCGGCGGGCTTGAGGTCTCCAGACCCAAACGTGGCGCGTTTCGGAAAAGGGCCGTATGCATGCATACGCCGGAGAAGTGTATGGCGCCGTGGATGTGGATGTGCGGATCTGCGCGAGTTGGAGGTGGGGTGCTGTGCCGGATGTACGAGCATGTGAAATGCTAAATTGCATCGACGCCTCTCCGCTCCCTCCTCCACCCTTCCTCCCTTTACCCTCTCTTTCTCCCTCCCTCGGACCCGAGCTGACTTGATTTGTGTTTGCGTTTCTATCTACAGAACTACAATGTGCGTTCTAATTCCTCTCTTTGCTGTTTTTGGTTTTATTTCGATTCCTATTTCGATCGGCCTTCTTCCCTTTCCCCCGCTTGCATGTTCCTTCTTGCGTTCTTTCTTCCCACTGGTGGGTCCTACCACGTTGTTTAGAGTTCCGGGTCCGGGGTATGGGGGAAATGGAGGGGTTACCTCGGATTCGGGACTCGAATGCGATTTGTATCGCAGAAGCGCCTACTGTAGGCGCTGCCGGTTCTTTGGAATATGTTATGATGCCGCGTGCCCACCCTCCCGCGACACATCGCGGGATCTTGCCTCCCTACTTCCTCTTCTTTTCTTCTTCTTCTTTTGTCTTTGCCTCCGATTCCCCACTCCAATCCGCCTGTTTGTTCCTGGGTGTTTTTTTGGCCCGAGCCTGGGCCTGGGGATCTCGAGCCTGGCATCGTCTCTCCCGCACCTTTGCTCTCGCGCTCGCTCCCAATGCTGACGTTCTCGGCGATGTGGATCGCGAACTCGCGATGTGCGTGCGTGGACGGCATTTCTGTTCTGGGTTCGCGGGGCGTGCCGTGGTTATCTACGCGCGCTGCTATGTCTACGCGCTTGTAGATCCCGTTTATCGAGATGCGGGAATTGATATCAAATGTCTCGTTTCCGTCTCCGTGGCTGTATGACGATGTGGTGTCGTCGTGCGGTGTGTTGCCGGCGTTTTGTTGGATTTGTGGCTGGACTATCATGGTGGGCGTGGGCACGCGGCTGGCTTGACTTGACGGGGCGTTTGTGGTTATCCTCATTCACTCTCTGCTTCTCTTCGATTCTGCTTCATGTCGCTCACCATTGCGCGTTCTAACACCATTGCAGCGCAATCGCAACCGCCATACGTCGCCTCGGCCGCGCAGTACGCACAGCGCTACCCACACGCCGCGCACCGCTTCTCGAGCGCATCCGACACGCCGCCCACGTCCATCCGCTCGTCCGTCGCCAGCTCGTCGACGAGCCCGACGAGCTTCGACCACGACGGGTATTCTGGGACTAAGAACGGCTTCGGGCTGGCGCTTGCCCCGCACAACGCCTCCCTCGCCGGCACCTCCCCCGCGTCTGCCTCCCACTCCCCGCCTCGATCGCCTCGCACTCTTCGCTCAACTCGCCCGCCACGGCATCTGCATCGCGCCGCTCCTCTGAAACCTCGCGCACCCTCCCGCGGCTCGCGGGCCCGCGGCGCGAGCGCACGGCGCAGGAACCGCGCGATGAGCATGTCCGCCGTGAGCACGCCCAACTCGCCCACCGCGCCGACGCTCCCCGCCGGCGCGGCGACGCCGCACGCGCTGCAGCAGCACGCCAACTCGTCCTCCTCGACCGTCGCGCCGCGCCCCAAGCGCGCGCCGCAGCCGATCGTGTACCCCGCGCTGCTCTCGCGCGTGGCGGAGGCGTTCCAGACGCGCGTGCCGCGCGCGGACCGCGTGAAGGACGGGCTGACGTACCACGATGCGTTTGACGGGCGGGAGGCGGTCGACCGGATTGCGCATATTATCAAGACGACGGACCGCAATTTGGCGCTGCTCCTGGGGAGGGCGCTCGACGCGCAGAAGTTCTTCCATGATGTGACCTATGACCACCGGTTGCGGGATAGTGTGGTGGAGCTGTATCAGTTTCGGACGAAGCTGCCGAGTCCGTTTGGGGAGCGGGGAGCTGGCGGTTGTGGGTGGGGGAGGGGCGAAGGTCAATGGGGATGCGGAGAACTTGCTCGGGGCGCCGGCGCCGGCGGGCGGGGTGAAATCCCCAGATTCGATGGATGGGCCAGTGGGGCTGGACGCGGGGGTGGGGAAGGCGGCGGCGGAGGAGGACGAGGCGCCGTTGCCGAGCGGGGTGTTCACGCTGCTGGCGGACTGCTACAGCCCGACGTGCAGTCGGGACCAGCTGTGTTATAGTATTGCGTGCCCGAGACGGC